AAGAAAACGAATGTACCAATGAAATACTCAGTGAGCAATGTTCACACGGCCATAGGCTGCGGATCGGACGAACGGAGAGAATGAATATTGCCGTACGACGCAATATTATTGATTTATCTCCGCGAGATTAATATCGATCTGCAATGACCCTTATTTGGGTCGAATGTGTTATAAAATTATTCGATTTTGTTCACAAAATTAGCACGTGTGCAGCCGGGCTTATCTTAGGACGAATGGCATTGATCTTTGTCCCAACAATTGCTTCTCTTACTTAAGTGGTTGCGTGACCACTCTTAGCCATGGAGGTAACTGTCCGCATTTCCAAAGCTCGAGCAGCATACGCGAGACTGCAACACTTTTTGCATCGACTCGACGTATCACTGAATTCGAAAGGTCTTGTTTATCGTGCTCCTATTCGTTTTTTGTTCTTTATGTTCGTCAGACCTTGAATTTGCGAGTAGAGAATACCCATGGATTAGAAGTTTTCGATTATCGTTGTTTTCTTTGTTTAGCCTTCGTTGGATGGAGCGAATGGGTTTGGAGTCTAGAGGTAGGCCGTCGTGTGTTTGGTAGTTTACCAAGGATAAACTTTTTAGGTCATCGAATTCCGATTAATAGGCTTCTGTGGCTAAGGCGCGTATTGCGCATACCCAGATTGGACCTGGAATCGTAAGTCATGATCGCTCTCGATGCAGTGAGATTATTCATATCCTGGTATATATCTTGAAAATCATGGCGCTTATATTTGGAATAGGTGTAATCAAATTTAATGTCCTTGTACACCTAGCTGGTCCACTATTGCTCTGGAATTCATTTTTTCTAGTAACATCAAACATTTAAACGCTTCTTCACGATATTACAACCTCACACTTGCTCCTTTTGCAGACTCCCACCGGCGCTGTTGAGGCTAAGGTTGCTTGCTACTTTCGTCGACGAGACGTATCGATCGCACTGATCAATCAGGCTGAGAAATATTGTGAGTTTTTTAAACACTTGATATTGTTCATTTTCATAGATGGTAAACATACGAGTTTCTTACGAAAGAGTTTTTCAAAGCTGTCGTCACTACATTGTCTCATGCACTCCTGTTATCTTCCTCCTCTTGGAGTTCCAACTCACCAAACTGAATTGTTAGTAAAAATTGATTTATTTTCGGTTACGGAATGGCTATTATTTTTCATCTTATAGTTAAATGTCTTCTTTTTATTTTATTGAAGATTCAAATGTACATTCAACTTTCAGGATCTTCTATTTTACTGTTAATGCAGCTTTGCGGTTTTTCGGTGATTCAGGACATTCGCACACGCTTGAAGCTAATGCACCAAATATGTGATGAATATGATATCATATACAGTTAACATATGGACATAACATATGGTATTTCCTTTATGGCAAATTTTCTTCGCTAGCTACAGATGCCTTTTCCTTACTAACGTTGCATTTCGCGTTTCAGTATCTCCATACCGAAGGTCGACGGAACGAAAACCATACACTTATCTAACAAATAAGCGTATCCGTTGTCCTACATTTATGTCATGCACTTCTAAAAGAACCAGAAAACCTCGGAAATGTATTGAAAATCTCACAAGACGTTTTTTGTTTTGTTTTGTCATTTCAATATATCTGGTAACAGGTTTAACCACGTCTCCACGGACGAATCTTGGAATCGCATTGTATCCGTCCATTTAACGAACCAGATTCTAGTAATGCTGCACTATCCGGAAGATCTATCTTCTGTTTGTTAATTTACTCAGCGTGTTTGAGTTATGCTCGAAATCTAATCTTGTGCGATCTATACTCCTGATTAAACTGGTGTCGTCTTTGAATAGATGTATAATACGGCTGAACCATTTACACCCCGGATCGGCAACCACCGGCTCATATGAGAAACGCAACGATGCGCAGCTGTTCACTCCGTGCTACCACCACACCCCCGTTACACCCGCTCTCATTCCGTGTGTCCTCCGTGTAGTTACTTGCATTCGTTCGTCTGTCTGTTGGTCCGTCTATCCATCCGTTCAGCGATCGATCTGTCCGACCATCTACCAANAATCCACGTGCCTGACTTGCATGTCTGCTTCCGCCTGCCTGCTTTAACACCGATGGGCGTCCCGGTCGATCGGTCGATAGGTCGGTCGGCCACGGCGTGGGCAGACATTTCCGACCCACGACAATCAATCGAACGGTCGACTGGACGGTCTTCCTCCTGGTCGATCGTTAATTCCGCTCGTTCGAACAAAACGATGGATTGAGGCGTGTTTGCGCATGTGTGCGTGCGTTCAGTAAGGGGTGTAGCAGTGAAAGTTGCTCATGTGTTAAATCCATGAGGACCGCAAATAATGGATAATAGGTGCTGAACAATGATAATTTCACCAGAATTACAGAATTCTACGAGAGAATGTATTGGTTCCCCCATGTCTAAATTATTCGTCTTTATACATTCTTCCTTCTGTCACGCAGTCTCAACTACTTCCACTGACTGCCGTCACTACCAAAACTGTACTTGTCTTCATTTAGTTTTGTATGTATCTCGTCTGGTTTTGGCTTCCAGTGAACGTCAGTCACACTGACCCTTCGATTATGTAAATGATGTGAATCAAGTTCGCCTTGTAATGTCTTGCCAGCTTGCTGCTGTTGCTGCTCCTGGATATTGTTTTTTCAAATGGGAATTCGTCGTGTATATAGCAAATGAAGCGTGGAGTGAAAAGCTCGGAAGCACTGGACAGCTGTTTCAATCTAGTTGGGTCTCGAATTGATATATGAACTTCAATCAAATCTTGCATTACTCATTTGAAATAAGTAGTCAGGTTGTGAATATTTCCAACCGAGTCCTAACCCCGGAGGCTAGTGCTGAGTTGAATGGGGTCCGTGGCCCGCGACAAACTTTCAAAGATGGGTTGTGCTATATCGTGTAAATGGAAAATGAAAAACGGTCTGATCAGCTGCTCAGTGGCGTAGTGGGTAGCACGCTTGCGTTCTGCCCATGAAGTCCCGGGTTTGATCTCCAGTCGGGTCGATAGATTCGCACTGCTGATGAGACCCAACCAGGTCGAAACAGCTGTCCAGTGCTTCCGAGCTTTTCACTTCACGCTTCATTTCCTATATACACGACAAATTCCCATTTGAAATTTAACCAAATCCGCCATTACTCACATGAAATATTGTTTTTCATTGAAGTGATTGCACCTCATGGTTTGATGGGCTATTCACGACATACTAGACATGGAGGAATGCGGGTAATACTTTTCAACTACCGTCCCAAAGGTTGCTGTACTTCCTGTGGATACTATTTTATCAAACCAATTGTAGTCCGTTTTGAAGTCGACATAATGGTGGGATGACTTGCATCCCTTTCATGCTCAGCAAAGTTTCTTATATACTAGCCCGTTCGTTCGTGTCTTTTTTCTGTGTAGGATGTATACTTACGAATACGTAGGGGGGTTTCTTGTCTTTCGACTCAGAACCTCGGAAAGCATTGACAAAAAATGGAATCTAGCCAAAGTTTTCGTCACTTGTACATATGTTCTGCGTTATATTCTTGAACTGCGCATCTTACCAATATTTTATCCGATAATCACTTGGAGTTCTAACGCTGTTAGAAGTGGGTTGCTATGTATCTGTCTGTCGTGATGCCGTGGTTCCGTTTGGGATCCTATGCTTAATGTTTGAGCATGGTTCTCGGAAGATCCAGATTGGGGGATTATCGGGTTTGATTTATCTGTGTTTTTGGTTGTATTTGCGTCATCATCTACTGACGGGAACCATAAGTCGTTTAGGCGGTTACAATCTATTTGAGGCTGATGCCCATTATTTGTTTCTGTCTGTTCGTTTTTTAGTCCAGTTTAATTCAGATGGTACGGATTCTGTGTGACTGCGTATTCGCATGCATCACATGCGGAGCGTGCTCGGTTTGATGATTACGATGAGGCTGCATCTTGGAGTGGTATCTCGTCAGACAACTGGTTTGCCAAAGTTCGTTGCCAAGAAGCATTTGTAAGTAGTTTACCGAGAAACAGATTGCAGAATCGAAGTCTCCTCAATCTCAGAAGGAGTCCGGGGACATCGGCATGTGCACTGTAATGCTGGCGGGTCAACATGCTTGTTCTGCGCCTCCAAGTGTGTATTTGGAAATTGATGTGTACTGAATATCGGAGACATAACTGGAGTACCATTGGTCACTAAATTTCGCCTGTTTTGTTCACCAAGTATTTCCTTCGCACATCTCGCGGCGATGAAACCCTATAAATAGGTCAGCGTGGAGCAGGTATCCTATTTAAATGGAACTGAAACCTCACTCATTGACTGAATGTCCTACACTATCCGTTTATCTGCGATGAGGCTCAAGACGGCAATCAGGGACGCACCACTTCACATCATATGCGCAGATCCTATTTAGGTTTGATACACAAAACAAGCTCGAAAAAGCTTATCAAAATCATCCGGTCTAGCTGAAGCTCCGATAAAAATGTGCTGGTTACTAGTTGGAAAACTGCGCAAAACGTGAGCTCTCCTAGGCGATTGATGTGCTTTGCCTTGCCAGCGAAAAGAATGGCGATCGACTTTTGTATTTCTGCGGACATCACTCTGTCCCTGTCCAGCATCAGCTTCCGACACAGCTCTCAACGGACATCACCATCATCGTCATCATCATCATTGTACAGCGTAATACAGTGAAGCGACTTTCACTGATCGCTGCCAAACTCGTATGGCGTACAAGGTAAGTGATAATGTGTAAGGAGGACAGGGATTGGACGTATTCTTAGGGACGGGAAAAGAAAGTGAACCTCTATGGTCAACACACAGAGTAAACGGTCCAGCTGTGCATGCATACTATTTCAAGCATTCTGGTCTGATAAGGAGTGACAGCAAGATCGCCATTGTTGTCGGTTCGCAGCTATGACCTTCAGTGTCTCCAATCATGCGGTTTCGGAGTTTTTGGACCCCAACCCGGAAGCCAAGAGACACCTACTCTACCTAATCGCTCTGTGCATTTCTTCATGCCTCGTCTCCATGTAATCTGCTGGCCTCCATGTGGCTTTCTCCATCCTGTAACAGCCATTGCAAACAAGGCGCGCTGCGGTAGGCGACCGTCGGACATACGCAAGACGTGTCCTAACCAACGGAGCCTACTGAGCTGAATTCTATGCGATAGGGAGTTTTTGTTTGAGGTATTCCTAAACACCCGACGACTTACTTCTAAGTTACTAACGCGCTCACTCCACCGCACTTGGGCCAGACTACGTAAGCATCGATTGTCGAACACTGCTAAACGACTGATGTCCTCTACCCGCAAGTTCAAGGTCTCAACCGTAAAGCAGAACTGATCGTACAGTGGCGCAGTATACGGGACTTTTCAACTTCAGTGAAACGTCACGTCGCCGCTACAGGTGTCAAAGTCCTGTGTATGCTGCTCGAGCCTTGGAAATGCGGCTGGTTATCTCCTTTGATGCGCTACCATCGTTGGTGACGCAGCTACCTAAGTACGAGAAGCAGTCAACCTCAGCTGATTCCTGACTGTCTAGTTTCAGAACGGAACTCGGCGACACCCAGTCTTGTAGCATCACTTTGCACTTTGAAGGTGCAAAGCACATGCCGAACGAAGCGACAGAACTTGTCAATCTGTCAAGTGCTCTTTGCGCATCCTCCATAGATTCGAACAGGCAAACGATGTCGTCAGCGTACTCCAAATCGCACAGCTTTTCATCAGCTACCCATTCGATACCAACATTATGGAGACCACTTAGTGTGTTCTCCAGTATTTCGTCTATGACGAAGTTGAACAGGAATGACGAAATAGGGCACCCTTGACGAACACCGCTGCTAGTTACGAACGACCTATTCAGCTCTCCGTAGACCTTTACGTTACCAGAAGTATGCGAATAGAGTGAACTTAGTATGTTCACGTACTTCAGCGGCATTCCTTTTCGAAGGAGTGAACCCATAAGGGATTCGTGGTCAACTGAGTCGAAGGCTCCTTTTAGGTCAAGGAACACGACAACCGTTGGTCGATAGTGCGTATGGCGTAGCTGGAGGACTTGACGCGGAGTGAAGATTTGATCGACACACTCGCGGCTTGGTCGAAATCGTGCTTGTTGTTCGCGGATGTTTGTCTCCCTAAACGGTGTCAGACGTCGAAGTATGATGAAGGCTAGTAACTTGGTGACGATTGGGGTCAAGCTTATTCCACGGTGGTTTGCGCAGTCGTTGCCAGATCCCTTCTTAAAAGCGGGAACAATCAATGATTCGCTCCAGGAAAATGGAATGCGCTCATGCGACCAGATGTTACGCATTAGATCACTAATGGAGTCTGTGAGCTCATCGCCTCCCAACTTGAAAAGAGCGTAGTGAATCCTGTTGTGTCTGTTTATTGTTGAGTGTTATCTTTGTTCCTATTATCAATGAAGTTTGATTTTCTATTGTTACTTTTCCTCCTTAGGTTGATAGATGTGGGTAAACTACATTTAGCATTCGAGCCGTCATTGCGATTGGATTGTGCAAACCATCGCTCCTTATCAGTTCCCTGAGTGACGGCACACGGTCTACATAATTACGCGTATGGTCGCACTGTACTCCTTGACTGCGAAGACCTAATGGTTACGCTGTTTCGTCGAGTGGTGTTAGAACAATTTGCAAACCTTTTGAGATTGCGGTACCAGTATACTTCGTTATCCCTGATTGTTCTACGACGATCTGACTGACTCGTTCAAACCCAGCAACGGTGTTCAAGGGCACCCTTCTCGCCAATTGTATTGAATTTTTCTGGTAGGCTGGGTACGGAGCAGTGCTTTGAGTGTCAGAGTACGCCGACGACATCGTTTTCCTTTTCAGGTATATGAAGATTACCGAAATTACACTTGAGAGGTCAATCGGTTCGATTACTGCCTTCGGTAGACGCACTTTGCATGTTCAAGGTGCAAACTGATAGTGTAAGACTGATTGTCCTCTTTTCCGGCTCCGATGTCCAAGAATCAGTTATAGTGACTAATGACAGTGGCCTTGTAAAATAAAGGAGGTAGTAGTCTGCATTTCTTTGTCACGAACAATGAAAATTACTCCTGGCAGTGATCAGTGAAGTTGACTTCACTTTTTTCTATACGTTGATGAATATAGTAATAATGCCTTTCATACCATATCATATTCTAAGTCAAATTTTGAATGAATGACCTCGAACATCCCAATTGGTTCACTAGATGTCAGTGACTATGATTCAGATGAAGATTGTTCGGATGCTAGTGGAAAGTCAACCGGTACTCCTAATGGCTCCAACAAACGGTCGCACTTTGCAATATCCGAAGTGGATAAACATCGAATCAAGCATCGGGAGCTGTTCCTCTCACGTCAGATCGAATGTTTACCGGCTACACACATACGCGGTGAGTTTCTTGCCCTTTATCTAATGGGTTTAAATACACTGCAACATAGTTATCCGTTTCCAACTAGCGCCAACCCATTTCTTCGATTTCATGATTTGCACAATCTTGTGGCCAGTAGCCTAACATGTGGTTCTCTAAATGGGTACCTGAGACAGCAACCAAAATCTTCGCACGAAAATGCATGATTAATGGTTGTAAGAACTGAACTGAACTGAGCCTAGCATGCCAGAGCGTGTTCCACCCAAAGGAGTGAACCGCAGTTAAGCTGAATGAACGTAAAACCCAGGACCCACAAAATGACTTACCATTGCGTGTCGAGTTATCGCAATAATTACCACCTCAGGGTTTCAACTGTTACTTACGGAAGAATGTTAACAAATCTTCAGGTGAGACTCAACCCAAAAGTGGTTTTAGATGATAAGTGCATTTGTTCATTTTTCGAGACTACCACCGGTGACCTGAAAAATGAGCACAAAAGTTAGAAAATCTCATGGCGTTACTCAATCGGCCACTAATTGAGCGCAAAACGGAATTTGGCATTGCATAAAAGTGAATACATATATAAGAAGAACTCAACCTGATTGGTGTCCTTTAGATGAAAAACGACTTCCCCTTATTACAATCCACCGGCATTTTACATTCTTATTTGCCTTGAGCCCGCATGACCCATTACTATTGTTTTCAACTAAGATCAGAGCGTGCCTCATGGACATCAATACCTTGGTGGTTTTCAGTTCAGTTCAGTATTTTTTTTACAACCATGTGCCTTAATGCGTCGGTTTTTGTTGCTGTCCTTTGGCTACCTATCGGGACGAAACAGTTGTTGAGATTGGAAAGTTGAAGTAGAGTCGAAGAGGACATGGAATATTCCGGTGCACAAATGTTGCGAAAAAGTTGAACTGCACGAATACCATCGTTTATGACTGTCAGCCAGTGGGCGATTGCCTAAAACTCTACGCCTAATTTCAGCGTGGCTCGTCCAGCTGCAATGCTGCGTAAACAGCAGTGTTTAAACACCGACAGTCCATCTTTATCTTGTATTTTTTTAATGGCAAAGTTTCTGCACCGTATAGCACAACTGGCCGAACTGCCGCGGCATACACTCGGCCCTTCACAGACAGACGGATGTCGCGACGGCGCCACAAATGTCTCAAGTTGGCAAATGCCAACCGAGCCTTTTGTATGCGAGCTGACTCTTCATCAATGATGCGTCCACCGGATGAGATGTAGCTACCCAGATAGCAAAATTTGTCTACTTCCTCTACTACTTCTCCAGTTAGGTGAGGCTCGGTACTGGATCACCCCAGTCTTGTAGTAAAATTTTACACTTTGAAGGTGCAAAACGCAAGCCGAACATGGCTACACTGGTATTCAAGCTGTCCAAAAATGCTTGCAACTTACCTGGATCTTCACTTAGTAGCACAATGTCGTCTGCATACTCTAGATCAGACAGTCTGTCACTCGGAAATAAATCGATACTGCTATCCTTGCNAGTCTCTGCGCCGTAGAGCAGGACCTCGCCGAACTGCTGCAGCATGCAGTCGACCCTTCACAGACAGACGGATGTCACGACGGCGCCACAAATGTCTCAAGTTGGCGAATGCCAACCGAGCCTTTTGTATGCGAGCTGACTCTTCATCAATGATGCGTCCACCGGATGAGATGTAGCTACCCAGATAGCAAAATTTGTCTACTTCCTCTACTACTTCTCCAGTTAGGTGAGGCTCGGTACTGGATCACCCCAGTCTTGTAGTAAAATTTTACACTTTGAAGGTGCAAAACGCAAGCCGAACATGGCTACACTGGTATTCAAGCTGTCCAAAAATGCTTGCAACTTACCTGGATCTTCACTTAGTAGCACAATGTCGTCTGCATACTCTAGATCAGACAGTCTGCCACCCGGAAATAAATCGATACCGCTATCCTTGCACGAGGATAGGGCTGTTTCAAGAATTAAATCTATGACAAAGTTAAATAGAAAAGGAGAGAGAGGTCAACCCTGTCGAACACCACTTTCCGTGGTGAACTCGGGTGAAAAAGTGCCGTAAGCTCGAACTCGGCTTCGGCTATTATTGTAGAGGGATTGTAATATTGAAATCAACTTCTCGGGCACTCCCTTCAGGGAAAGGCAGCGCCAGAGTTTAGAGCGGTCGACTGAGTCGAAAGCCGCTGTCAGATCCCGGAAAACAGAGATGGTAGGTCTACGAAAAGAATGTCGGTGCTCCAGAATTTGGCTGTCCTGCCAGCAAGCAGATAACGGTGGTCGAATTCTTCGCTTCTGCACAGACCATTATTTGTTCCGACAGCTCTCGACAGATGGCCACGTGTCGCTGTAGTTCAACTGGTGCGCTAAGTCAAATCTACAGCATAGCAGTAAGCTATTGTTGACGCAGCTCAGTGCAAAATTACAGATACGATTGGACCACCTGCGCTGAGTCGTACCACGCATTAGTTTTGATGCAGTTCATTTTCCGACTCAATTACCGGCGACAAGAATCAGCATACCGAAACCAGTAGCCTATATCTATATCCCTTTAGGCTTATCAATTTTTCATAGGCATTTTTTGTGAATAATATCTCCGTCCTCCTGTGTTTCAACCGAGTGATGTAAATTGTGATTCATTAGCCGAAGAAGACGAATCACAGAAGAGAAGTCTTGCTTGCTACATTGTGTTCTTTTAAAAAAACGAGCAAAAGCGGTTTTCTCATCATTGCCTGTGTGTTACAGTGGTTGGTGCACGCGATGAATCGGAGCTATTGCGTAAGCTAAGCGCACTTCAATGGGATACTGTTGATGAGCAGTGAGGCGAGATTAGGCTCGCAATCCATATATCATGTGTCAGTAGACCTGATGGAGAAAAGACGACAATTCTCAACCTGCAACGATCAAGACTAGTTTAGGTGGTGTCTGCAACGTCAACTCACGATGCGCTCAATAAGGATAGTGGGAATTGCTTTTCAACAGCAGCTTTTGTAATGGAAGAAGCAACTGCATCAGGGAATCGGCAGAAAGATCCGATACGCAACAGGGGAAGTTGACCAATTTCAGTTAGCAGAACAGTCTCTGATAAGAGGGGTTAAGATATTCATCATAGGGATCAACGACTTGATCGCTGGGCGGAATACGTCAGAGAACAGATCAGCTGTCCTTGAAATAACCAGATTACTCCGTCTGCAACTGAGGCTCCGTGGGCAGTGGCCTGCGATCCTCCAGCAGAACCAGAAGCTCGGTCTTGCATACATGTTCTGAAGCGAGCAAGGCAACAGGATTGGATTGGCTCCTTCCCACTGTTTTCAAGATGGGTGGAGATGACTTCGTAAGCTGTATTATTACCTTATTGCACAACATTCGGACGCATTTGGCGCA